TATAGCAGGTAAGTTGTTGATAGGCATCCCAATGTAAAGTTTATGCATAAATTTGTATCAAACTTGCATTTTCATGGACAATATTCTATTGTAAATATTGATCAACACCATAATATTATAAGATTATCAATATAAACAAATTATTCTAGCTCTTCTCAGGACGATCTTAATATATAAGTGGATTTTCCCTACGTGTGCTAAAGTAGTCCCTCACTTTAGCTCATCCATGAACTCTTCTATCATCTCAATTTGGATCTCTTTCTCTTGGTTGCAGAAACACTATTTTAATCAGTTTACATTATATTGTAATGAGATCAATCTTTGGCAAACCCTTACAAAATGATTCTACTACAGCTCATCTCTCCAAACCATCTATAGCAAAGCTTTAACTGAAAAAGTAAATTAACATCCTTATGAACAGAAAGATCGATTTGGTCCCTCTTGCGGTTATTAACAACATGTTCTTTTATGGCATTCCCTCATATTACACATCTTGCAAAATATGTGGACATAATTACTCCAATTGCTTTAATTTGCATTGAAATTAAGAAGTTGTATGTTATTAAGTCTAACAACCAAGAACAAAGAGAAACAACAACAAGCCTTTATCCCACTAAGTTGGGTAGGCTACATGAATCCTTTTTCTCCATTGTGACTTATTGGGTGTCATGTTTTCTCTTATTCTAATAAATTAAGGATAATTTTTTTATGCACGAGCACAGGTCTAGTAGGTCTACTTCTACCTTTCTTACCATAAGTCGAATCTAAAACATCTACTCTCCTAACATGATCATCAGATGGTTGAATCTGATGATCAGCTCTAGCATGACAACGGCAACTCCATCTTCATCAGCTCTAGCATGCACACAATTTGAAACAAACTTAAGATAGCATTATATAATCAAAACTTTCAGAGCCTCCCCTTACAGAACTAAGTATAGAAAAAGAATATCATAATCTCATCAACATGTAAGAACATTTGTACAGATCCTTCAAACGAATTATTGCCACCTTCCCTTCCTATAATTAAGGAAATCTACGCCACGGATTCCGGGCGGCATTTTGCTACACAGTAATTTATTGAGTATCGACTCCCTGGTGGATAGGAAATTACATATCAAGTGTTTCAAACGAGGAAGAAACAAGGAAAAAATGTAGCCGCATTCTTTAATACTAAAAAGAAGAATGAGAATAAACTATTCAAATTATTATACACCAATAATCCAGTTAATAATGAAAAGTTCATATACTTGACGCCCTATATATAAGGAGACTAAACCATTATTAAGGATAAACAATTCTAATTCTCATTGCATTTGCCAGCAAAACTCAGTTTAAATGATGATCATGCATGGTTTTGCGCAGATTTTTTCATGTTGCATGTGATGTTAACGGAATCTTTTCAAAGTTTTCACATTTAGTCGTTCGCATGTGACATTGAAGAAGTGGCAATTGTGTGCAACTTTTTTTGGAATTATTAATTTATTGAAAATGGATTAATTGGCTGTTGTTGAGTGGATGAATTTGTTAGAACAGCACGTAAGGGCAAATAAGTCTTTTATTACCTACAGGCAATTTTGTCTTTTGTCATCTATTATGATTTAGTATAAATAAGCTAATAGGTTTAAGGTTAGGTTTATGCAAGAGATTATTGTTGTGAGTCTTAGGTTTAGGGTTTGGGATAGAATTCCTACCTCTTTAATTATACGAATTGGAAGAGAATGCCTACAGCTCGAATTTTTAGGTGTTTAAAAATATGTATTTGGATTATGTTGTTTGGTGTTCATGAAATAAAATAATGATTGCCCTAATTTCTGTGTAAAAATCTGTGTTGGTTGGCATTAAATAGGTATGAGAGCAATCGATCTATGAGAAACAAACAACGATCAAAGTGATCGGTTCTTACATAGTTCTAAATCAGGATCGGAAACCACAAGATCGCAGCAAATAGATCCTACTTTCAGAAGGGCAAGACAGATCGTGTGCAGAGGTCTTCAATGTGAGCAATCTAAGAAACGGTTGATAGGATCATGCGATCCAGTTGCTATAAGCCATGGCTGGAAACCATGCGATCGAGCAGAAGGAACACCAGAATCACACCGTAGAGGGACAGGTGATTGAAGCCTCGCGATACTGTCGCAATTGGAGCTAGCTGGGAAGCAATAAAAGGGATTGTTACATTCAGTCGAGGTTTCATCAATACAGTCATGATAAGAACACGAGATCACACCTTACAGGAGCCAGTGTTCGTGATTGAATTGAGTTAAACTGTCATGATTTGAGGAAGCACAGAGGAGTCTCAACGTGACATAATATCTCTATATAGTCGCGATTAGAGCTAACTAGGAAGTAACAACGGGATCGCGGAGTCCATGGCCACAAATAAACAAGATCATGAGGTAAAGACCGCAGAAAAGTCGAAGGATCGTGGCATACAGCAGTTTTGCATGGTTGTTGATCGAAAATAGCGATCAAGATAGCAATGTAAAAGAGTTTCACGTCTCTTGTGACGAAAAACCGTGATCGAGATCTACAACGTACAGGAATTTGGATTGTAGCTTCCAGGGTTTTGTGCGGCTTCCACTAGTTCCACCGACCGTGTATAAGAATTTCAGAATCACAGCAACCAAAGTTTCGCGAGCGTCAAACCCACGTTCAGAATTACGAATCTCGTGATTTCAGTGTTAATCAGTTCCAAAAACATCAAGGACATGACAGCAAAAAAAGTTGGATGCTTTGGAGGAAAAACTAGTGAAAGGAATTAGTTAAATAAGATATGAAATAGAGAGTATTTCTCAGCTATGAGAGGGAGGTGGGAGGGGAGATTGACAATCCTAGAAGATATGATAAAGAAGATTAAGAAGTCCCACACAAACCCTTCACCGATTGTAGCGAGTCGAGTGACAGCATCTAGAACGAATGTGAGCAGCAACAATCAGAAGAATTCGTGAGACATCAAGGCACCATCGTTGTCTCGGGTGGATTTGGAGCTGCGAGATTTGGTGAAAGAATGGGAAGCGGACTAGAGCTTCAACATTTAAAAGAACATCCAGATGACTGGAACGAGAGGCAGCAGACAAAATGGGATAGCAGACGATTCGAGGCAGAAGAGGATAAATTTAAAGAATTTTAACCCATAACAGAAAACGATGGTGGGGGACCTCAGCAAAGGGTTACATCTACTAGTACAAATTCCATCAGTCGCCGCAACCTTCCAGTTAGAAGGGATTATGGAGCATATGGGACCATATGAGATGATTATGGGGCACCGACTTATGAAAGAAGGGAAATCAATATGGGTCATGAGGGGAATGAACTTCAGTAAGGAAATTGGGGAGGAGACTCGCGCATAAGAATGTTGAAGATGTCGATTTTTGAAGAAGAGGATATCTATGGTTGGATTTATCGTGTAGACGGATACTTTGTTGTTAAAAGGCCAACGGAGGAAAAAAGTTGATGGCAGCAGCCCCGCGTTTGGAAATGAAGTATCTATCGTGATACCAGTGCATAAAACAACATAATCCAATCAGAACCTAGGAAGAGTTCAAAAGGATTGCTTGTTAGAATATTTTTGAGTCATTCAAGAAGGGACTAATATGAATATAAGGAATGATTTGACTTATTGTCAAGATAGTTTAGGGGGCTTTATGAAACAGTATTGGAAGAAAACTTAATGAAGGGTCTAAAACTCGAAATACGTCTGACACTTTGTCCGTTGAGACCGCAAGATTAAGAAGAAACTATGGATATAATGCAGTTGATTGAAGATTATAATGCAATGGAACGAGCTAATAAGAGCAGCAAAAGTGAAGCATCATATTGAACTCTGACAACCATGACGACACTAAAAGCTCAAATAGTGGAAGTCCAAAAGGAGACTTCACAGTACAAGAATCATGGGGGCACAAATGAGGGCGACACTCAAACGTCTTACGGAAATAAAAATCTAGATAAAGCAAGCCCAAAGAGGATGTTTTCTGGTTGATACGAAGTTCAACATAGGATACTGTTGCAAAAATTGAATATTGCAGGTTCTCATAATTTGTGAAAAGGAGTCAGAGGATGAAGAAACAAAAGAAGTTGTGGAGAAAGAGTAACACCAGCATTTTTTCCGCCTTGAGAACAAAGTATTTTTGGGAGGGAAGTGATGTTAGATCAACACCTAAGGGCAAATTCATTTTTTATTAGCCTAAAGACAATTTAGTCTTTTTTCATTTATTATGGTTTAGTATAAATAGGCATAATATGTTTAGGGTTAGGGTTATGCATGAGTTATTGTTATGAGTCTTAGGTTTATGGTTTGCGAGAGATTTCCTACCCCTTGAATTGTCGGAATTTGAAGAGCTAGCCTACTTCATGAATTGTAGATGTTTATCTTTATATATTTAGATTGTGTTGTTTGGTGTTCGCAAAATTAAATATATGTTTCACTAATTTTTGTTAGATGACTTGTGTCAATTCCTATCAAATTTTTTCATAGTCTGATTCGGTGTTAATCCCACCATCAAGTTCAATGAAACTTTTGTCACGTTTAAGTGAGAGTGTTCGTCTTCATCTACCACCACCTTTAGTGTTTCCTCATTTGTCTCCCCATCACAAACTTTGAGAACATGTAAGGTATGATCTTTGCAATGGTGTCCTGTGACGAGCTTCTAGTTACATAGGAAACATAACCCCTTAGCTCGCTTCTCCTGAATCTTTTTTTTGTATGGCATTTGTAATTGCCTCTGGTCGTGAACCGTTATTCTTGTCCGCGCAGCCTCCTAATGAAATCCCATTGTTTGACTTGCTAATGAAATCCCATTGTTTGACTTGTTGATATCATTGTGGTTGTAACATTGTGATGTGTCGCTCGATTTGTGTTACTCTTGTTAGCTTGTTCCATTGCATTTTTATCTTCAATCGGTTGCACTAATTTCATAGTTTTCCCCAATCCTCCCGGTCTCAAGATATGAAAAGATGCTCAAATCTCTAGATTTAACCATTTTCATGAATTTTTCTTCCAACACTTCATCTGTCATCCCTCTCAAAAAATCATATAGCATATCAATTTTTTTCATATACACCATGACAGGTGCTTCTTAAACCAACGCAAAAAAATGCTCGTGTAATTCTCCTTCTTGAGAAACTCTCAAACACTCCAACAATTGATCATTGAATTCTTCTCAAGTTCTGATTGAATCTCTAAGATCTGGAAGGGGTTGAAAAGGTTTAGGGGACTTACAGAATACTATCGAAAGTGTGTGAAGGTTATAATTCAATTAGGTGGCTATTGACGAATGAGTTGAAGGATAACTTTCAATGAGGGAAAGTGATAATCAAGACTTTTAAGAAGTTTAAGAAGACCATGATGAGCGTGTCAAAGCTAATGGCAAGGACCAGATTCAAGCTAATTTATGAGCGGAGGTAACATGACTTGATCAAGCAAAATTTTTTTCCACCTTAAGGACAATGTGTCTTTTTATGATAGGAGTATTGTTATGTTGGTACCTAGCCTAAGGGCCAGTTTAGTCTTTTATTAGCATGAGGGCAATTGTATCTTTTATTATTTAGTATTATTTAGTAGAAATGGACTCTAATAGGTTTAGGGCTAGAGTATGTATGAGATTATTGATGCATCTTTAGGTTAGGGTTTAGGATAGATTTCCGGTCGAATCATAAGAATTGGGATAGATAGCCTTCCTCTCGTATTGCAAATGTTTATCTTTTATCCATGTTGAATGTTTGATGTTCTAGCAACATAATATTATTTGCCCTAATATTTGTGTGAAATTTGATTCTACTCCTATCAAAATTCTCTTTTTTAGAGTTGCTTGAGAACTAATCCTATTCCGTTTCCATGTGTACTTCACTGCAAATATAGTTCATGCCTTCCTAAAGGCTTTGATCCTCATAGAGCTGGAGTCATCAGCTCACAAGCATTTCATTTATTGTATATAAATTAATTTATTTGCGCCTTTTTTCTAATACGCCTATTTGCACCACTGCTTTGTCTTTTGTATCTGAGTGCCTCAAGGTTTATCAAAGGATAGGAGGTCTTCAGTGGCAGTGTATTTGTTGCTCCTGCAGCCAACAATTTCTTTTCAAGACACTTAGTCATTCCTATAGTTTTAATCCATTAGTTCCGCCAACACTCATTATGGGAGTTTCTAGAATGGACCAAGCATTACAAATTTGTTTATAATCATTATCGGTGATATTTATGCCAAGATTCTCAATGTAAAAAATCAGACATTCACAATAATTAAATAATTTATCGATAGTACTGAAGCATTTAACCAAAATAAAATTTACTCCTCTGATTGAAAAGATTTTTACCTTCTATTTTCAGTCCTATCAGTTTAGGTTGGATGTGACATTCCCTTGAGTGAGAAGCAAGTAAAATTGACAACTTACAGGTGAAGACGACCATTCTTTTAGTATAGAGACCTTGTATTTTTTTCTACTTAAGTGGCATCTTATTTTGATCAATTTCTTCCAAAACATTTTATAACTAATGTCTCAAGATGCTCTATTTTGAATTAAATTTGCAATAAAACGGATTTCAATTGTAAGAAAGAAATTCAATTGCTCGTTGCTTTTTGCTCATTTGAATTTCTTATTGATTTCTTTGAGTTGATAAATGTTAAGTCAACATTTGTTTTCATTTTATTTCTTTCATTAATTAGCACCTAAGCAATAAATTGTTTAGTTAGTGATCTTAGATTTGTGAATTCTCATTTTTTATGTGATCCACATTCAATGCATCGACCACGAGACCAGTCCCCCCACCTCATCCGACGAACCCATCAACCCTTCGACAGAAAACAGAACAGTCCCTAACGGAAACGGTCAAACATATGCATTTCACCATCTAGCACCAACCATTCTGGAATGTCATAAGGAAGCGTGTGCAATCAACCATTTTCCATTAAAAGACAAAAAACAGTAAATGAAAGAAAGAAAGATAAAACAAGATAGCTCAATAGAGCCATTCTCACCTCCGATGCTTCCCCTCTTCTCTTCATTCCGAGTGAAGTGAGAGAGGCGGTGGAGATTAGGGTTTCGAATGCGTGGGAACCGATGCAGATCCAAAGCAAATGGAAACAGCTTTAGGAGAAAATGGAGTGTTTCTGAAATATAAAATCCTAATCAGATGCCACGTGTTATAATGGACGCTTCTGATCCTGACTCGTTCTAAACGGCGAGAGAAAAGAACTGGCAAATTGACGTGATGGCGGGAACATAATTTGGGGCATTTACATAAAGACCAACCTAAATTTGTTATTTACAAATCAAACGTTTTCTTTCATCCGTTTTCCAATTTCTCACTCAAAATATTAAAATTTGTGGTTAAACACCGACTCTTAGGCTCCATTTGGAACCACGGCAAGAGAGAGAGCGGCGTGGGTTGTCCCTTCGAATTTCTGTCCTTTGACGGGAACGCGGTTTGCGTAAAAAGTCGGTCGCGGGATGGATCCCGTGGAACAGCTTTCTCGATCGGCTTTTTATGCATTACCCCTCATCGAGCCTCCCCCTCCCTCTTTCGTCTTCTCCTCCTCGTTCGTTCAACTTGTTACGCCAAGGCAAGCTTTGCGATCCTCCCCCTCCCTCCTTCGTCTTCTCTCATGTTGCCCACGTTCTCAGTTCTTTTTCCTCCTCCTCCTCGTCGTCTCCAAGCTTTGGTCATGATTTGTCTTCCTCTTTCGCCATCGTCCTCTTTTTTTCGTTCGTCTTCCTAATCTTTTCTTCGCCTAGAAATGCAATTTCATTGGTCACGGTTCATCTCTTCTTTTCGTTTTATTGGACCATTTTTCTTTTTGTTCGTCTTTCTAATCTCACTGAGAAATGCAACTAAAAGAGGATTTGAAATATATGCAAATTTGAAAACATTCTGAATATGTTCTGATACGCTACCAACAAATTTTCATCATCTGACACGAATCTCGATGCTATATTTTGAGCAATAAATATTCAAATCTGCATAAAAAGCCATCCAGATCTCTTATTTCAGCAAATTTATGGTCAAACTGACCGACTCGATGAGACAAACCTAATGATATCAAATTTAGTCAAATCCAAGTTAAATCAAGTCGAGATTAAGCGATTAAACTATTCTTGAAAGATTTTCGGACACATTTAAAAATAAAACGCATGTCAAATTCAACGAGTTTATAGTTGAATTTAACGTCTCGACAAGAAGAATCCAACGAGCCTAAGATTGCTCAATTTTGATATTGTTAAGGCGTCTGAATGACCATCAAACGTCATCTGATTAATGGAAGCTCTCCGGACCATCTGATCAAAATAGTTCATATTTCTGCATTAATTACACCCAGAACACTATAAATAAAGTCATATCCCTCATATGAAGGAGGATGCTTGAGAGAGAACATGAGGCTTTGAGAAGGAATTCAAGTCCAACATCATCTCTGTCATCGTCGATCCCCATCAAACACCACAGACTATCGGCGACCACCGCTCACCTCTGTCGGGCGCCCGATCACCCCTAATTTCCGTCAACCACCGTCGACCGTCCTCTACCACTGTCGTCTGCTATCAACCACCGTCGACCTCCATCGACCACCTTCCATCGTCGTCAATCACCGTCGACTTTCGTTGACCTTCGTCGTCCATCGTCGATCACGACCAATCATCATCAATCACTACTAACCAGACACTGTCAGTCGGCGCGTAATCTAAAAATCTAATAACACTTTCTTGTATGCGGGACAAAGGATTTCTGTAAATATCAATCAATAATGGATTTTCGTAATTTGGGATTAGGCTATGTGGTTTTTCCCTTTACGGGTTTTCCACGTTAAAGTTACCAGAGTCCTCACTGTTTGTTTCTCTTTCATCTCTGTGTGTTGAATTCTCGTACAATGCTAAAACGATAATCAATTACTCTACCGTCGTGAATTTTCTAGCACTCATCATGTTCAAATTATTTCATTGTTGTTCTTGTAGTTATTAAAGTTTAGGTGTTAGATATGTAAGCACAAAAGAATTCTGTTATATGTATGTAAATGATTCTTCATTTCCCAAGAAATAGGTGGCTAAATAGATTTGGGTAAGCACAGTTTATGCAAGCACAAATGAATTTGTGCATTTTACCCACACACACAGAGATATATATATATATATATATATATATATATATATATATATATATATATATACACACACACACACAGATATATACATATATATATATATATATATATATATGACATAAAACAACGACCCGATATGAACTGCATGCGATGCAATGAACAGGATTCAATATCAGGGTGATCTTATTGTTAATCCGTTCATTTTTTATATATACCTTAATAGTTGTTAACTTTTTATCTGTGTTTATGCAACTGTTTTAGAGACTTAAACCTCGAACATAGCTGTATAATGAACACTCAGTCAACCCTCTGAAAAAAAAACTTAATTAATGTGAGGCCAAAATTAAGTCATACCTACCAGACCTTCATGGTCTAACTCCTAGTAAATGAGCCAACAAGTTTGCCATTTCTGTTCATTGAAATGGTTAAAATACAGATTAACTGTTCTTTAAATATGAAAATTCAAATACAACATGCTCACGTGGATGAGAAGCCATGTATTTATCCGCCTTTCTTCTTAGATGTTTTAATTAATAATGGAGGGATTTACATGCATAGCACACAAATTCATTAGAATTATATATCTAACACCTAAACTTTATAATTTACTTTCTCAATATAAAAAATATTCAAATAAAAACAAAATTAACATCCCACCGTTAAAAGTCCTAGCCCCATTAGCTTCGAGAAGTTTCACTGCCGCTCGATCATGACAAAACTGTAAGAGTTCTGAAATTGCCCACTTTCTCCCACAGAACCTGTAGGATTTAAAAAGATGTCATTTTTGCTGATTGTAAGGAGGAGGAATGGGATTTAAGTTGTCATTTTTTTAATGTTTTGGCTGAATGCCTTCCTCAATGATTTTGGGTAGGAGCGAAGCATGAGAAGTGGAACCCTGTCAAGATGTGATAAGTCAATTAACAAATAAGATTGAATAATCAATGAGATTAATGTCAAACCTCGGCGATCTTCATAAAGCTCTGTGAAACGGTTCGGCTAACCAACAAGGAGGTTGAATGAAAGATACCCACGGGCTGAGCCAAACGAATGAGATCGTATCATTCGGCAAACGAGGCGAGCGAACCAGAATTCAAGAAGTTATAGGGATGTCCAATCGAAAAACCTTTATACTATCTTGACCTGATTCAATTTATTATTGCCTAGCAGACAAGCACGGGTTGACGAATAAGAAATATGCCACCATTAGTCGATAATTTTTTATTAGTTTAATTAAATGTATTGTGTAGATGATCATGATTCCCCTACATTTCTTTACGTAGGAAAGAGTCTAAATGTAATTATGTACTCAAGGTGTCTCCTATACCTATAAATAGGGGACTATTTCATGAGAAAATATTCTAGCCACTTATTTTTACTGTTCATTATCTTCTCTTTCATTTGTTTTACGTGTTCTATTCCTTGGGCATGATTCCAGGACACTTTTAAGTCTTTTAAGTTCAACTATATATATATATATATATATATCAAATACTTGAATTTGGTCTTATAAGATTTTTTTTTTTTTCTGTTTGATTTCATTCATTTATATGCACTTAAAATTTAGTAAAGAAGCTTATGAAGTATCAAATTGATGACAGTTAGGGTTCTGTTTTAAACACTTTTAATAAACTGGGGAAAATGGTTAATCTTCTAGAAATATCTTCCTCACAATTGTTTTCACGTAGCTGCAACAAACAGAAAACCAACTTCTCCGCAGCAGCTTCCCCACAGTTATTTCTTGAGACAGCTAAGCTGCAGCTGAAAAGTTAGAACTTTGCAACTACGCCAAACAGACCCTTATTCTATATTTTCTATCATAATCTTCATAGTTTGACCCTGACTGGCATAAATATATCAATTTTGTAGCTCAAAATAAATCACCTTTGTAGATTTGAAAATACCAATATTTCATGCGATATATATATATA